AGCATTTGGTTAGGTCTTTTTTATATTTTTTCCTCTAAACTTATTTTTATTTTACTTTGAATGAATTGAAAAGAAATACTCATGTAACTTTAACTAGAACCCACTTAGCAGGACATTTTTGCTTGTGGAATATTTTTTTTTCCTAAAAACTCCTAAATATAAATAATCCTTAATATTCACATTGGAATATATATCATAGGAGTACAGTAGGTCCCTAGACATCTTGGGAAACTTCTCTTCATAATGTAAGCAGTGTCACTTAGAGGCTACATACATTCTCCCCTTCTGAGTGCCTGTAACAGGAGAAAGTTGATATCTAGGGAAAGTTTAAATTAAGTCCAAATTTTTCTTCTTCTTAAGTTAATGTGACCTAACCTGTCACCTGTCAATGGTTCTGTGCACTCTCACCCTGGCTAAGGAGAGACTTGTGGCCTGTCCTGAGGATGCAAATAGACTGGTGTGTTAAGACCTGACGATTTGGCTAATGTGGGCTCCAGTTCAACTAAGGCAAAACGCAGTAAACCCCCAATGGGGAAAGAACCAAAGAAAGCAAAAATGTTGTATATTAATGCCTTCAGACAAAACGCTGACTGTGCATGTTTCTTTTATGCCAGATTCTCTCCCCTTTTCAGGATAAATGTTATGGTAATTTATAAGGTGGAGTTCACATACAAATTAGCTCTCCACAGCAAAGATAAAGAAATACATCTTCTATGAACAGCATCTAAATATACACTACAATTGGATAGACATGCTAAACAGAAAGAGTAAGCAACTTGTCTGCCTCATTAGTAGAAAGTCTATAACAAAATATTTTTTATCTTTTGTGAAGTAGTTTGAAAACAAACTAAACATGTTCAGGACAAAAAACATCGCTTTTATCTATAAACTAAAAATCTAGCAGGGAAATCAATCAGGTAGTATTTCCAGAGCCTTCAGATTTCATTACAGCAGGAAGCATTTCTTCTGAAGTCTGTGGAACTGTTTTTAACAGAGAACCAACAGGGACAGCTCCTTTTAAAGCCTTTTATAGATATTATAACAAAAACACACTTATACTGCAAGTCTGCTGTCTCTGATGTTTATGGCTTTTTGCTGTTGACTGTTCCAAAGATACAGTTCAGCAATATCAAATGACAAAGCACTGCAGTTCATGTTTTTATTTTCCACTCCTGCTAATTGTCATTTTTCTACCCATCAAGTCTGGCAATGAATGCAAAACATGAGGGTTAGTTCAGCCAATCATTAACATAAAGCTTAAAACAGGCACTTGAGTCTCTATTCTATGCTTTTTGCAATCTATGTATTCTTTCTTCATTTCTCTATTTAGAATAAAACTAAAGATGAAATTAGTTTTAAACCATTTTTTGTGGTATTTCAGGTTCAAATATTTTTTTCTCCAATAGAAGCAACTTTATGCATTTGGTAATCTTGCCAAATGATCTTCTGTAACTGTGCAACTACTACTGTGAAGTTAAGGTAGTTGCTTTAACTATATGTTGTTAACATAATATGTTGTCAGGAAGTTTACACTGGAATGGTAAACATTTGTAAATTTGCATCCTGGAGCCTAAGGATAAAATTTGTACTCTCATGTATAGTAGCAGATGTGTAAAATGTTAAGCATACTATTTATCCAGGAAAATAACACAAGGTGGTTTTCTTAGAGAGCTTCTCAAACTTCTTAGGGTTCATTAATGAATTAATCAATCTCCTTATTCATTCTTTTTTTGTTGTTGTTTTTGTCTGTAAAATTAGTTTGCTTTCATGCAGCTCTGAGCTAAAATCATATTTAAGCAGCACTACCACTCTAATGACCATTAAAGTAATTATCAAATGCTTGTTCGTGACATCTGTAAAGTTGCACAGTAGCCATCAGAATCAAAGCTTGCCTCCATCCATTTTGTGTTTCTGCATGATGGAAGCTCCATACAGTGGCCCATATCAACAATAGTGATAAATTATCTTTCTTAAATAGGAGCATTAAAGAAAAAAATCTAACAAACATACTGTATAGAGTGTTTTAAATTTAATCACATGTAGCACCAGCTGCTATTTTAGGGATAGATGTTTATGTTACTTTGTTCTATTTTTTTTCTGTAAAAAAAAACTCTGAAATGGTTATATTTTAGAAATGTGGGAAAACTTCTTTGCTAAATAGTTACAATCTATAATAATCCAAAATAGCTATTTTAATGAGTTATATTAAATCTGTTGTACTGGCACCCCTCTGTTGGATGAGGTACTGTAGCTGGGTAATCAGGCTGGAAGAGTGACATAAATGACCTTATCAGTTGTTTTAACTGGTACAGTAAATGCTACCAAGCAGAATTTTACTTAAAAAATAATCCTCTTAACAGTTCACTCTAGCTCTGTAGCTCTGTTCACTGTACTGCTTTTTATTTTCATGCAAAGCAGTTTCTGGAGTTCTAGAGGGTGTCAACCCAAATCTTAAATATTTTATTGTGGTGGGGGAGAGATGTCCCAAGTAGAAGCTGCATTTTAGTAATGGATGAAGTTAGTCCTGTATGTAATATGTAAAGTGAACATTTGGGTTCTGGACTCATAACATGGATGTATTCACATCCCAGTTGAGACACTGCTCTTGTACCCTTAAGAAAGAAACGTCACCTGAATTGTGCTAGTAAAATGCGAGTCAAACTAATTTGATAAATCTGAGCAAAATGCACTAGACATGCATAACAATGACATTTACAAAAAATGTATATTTACATTTGTAAAAGGCTTTCTTAAATTATATAAGATTCACTATTTTCACTATTCAATGGCAACTGCAGGTACAATGTCTGTTCAGACTGAGGTAATATACAAACAACAGTATTGATAAAGGGAAAAATCTCAAATTCTGGCTACAACGGAGTACCACAGATACTTCTGTCAGTACTTCTCATTGCAAATCAAATCAATGGTCTTTTCTTTAGCAGTTGTTAATTTTGTAGGGAGTTGGGGAGGGAAGTGTAAACAAAGGAATTACTAAACACTTAACAGTAAAAGATTATCAAATTATTGGAAATTAAGAACCAAAGACAAGAGGCATGTATTTACACAGAAGTTGTCTCTAGAGCCAACTTAGCAATGAGCAGTTTGAGTTGATCAATTTTGGTTATTATATTTTTAATTATCTGAAACAGCTCTATTTATTTGACTTTTGCAATATTTTTTAGTTACAATTAAAATGACAATTATTTCAACTTCAGATGTACAGTACATCATACAACTGTATACACATGTGCATCTTTATGTGTCTTGAAGCATATAATTAAAATTATATTAGTAAAATGAAATGTCACTGAGAAATGATCCATTCATAATCCATAATATAACCCAGCTGTGCTGCCCTGAGTCACATAGTATACCATCCATTCTTCAGACTTACTCTCCATTCACACATTGTTGATGGGCCTCAGTCCAGATGTGCAATAAATCAGCACAAACTGTAAATTTGTTTGATTTATTTTGCATGGTCTTATAAAGGAGCCATCAAGAAAGGAAAGCTTGTATTTCATAGTCATCATCAACATAGCAAGAATAACATCCAGGCACATACCGTATGACTTCTCTTACTGTCCAAGGTCAGCCTCAGACCTTCATGTACTGTACCTGGTGAAACAAATGAATAGAGATCTAGGAGTACACAAACAGAAGTGTTAATTGTATTAATCATTCAAAGAATGAAGATAAGTTGGGCATAGTGTTCATTCTGGACAGGCATTTGGCTAACAGCTGATCTAGTCAATGGTACAAAATTATTTACAAACTTTAAATAATTTGTATGAAGCAAACACTTTTATACCCTCTTTGAAAAATCAGTTTAGTAGAGACTATCATTAGTACAATAGTAATATTCTTTTGAGCAATATTTATTTTATTGGATATTTGCATGTGTAAAGCAGAAGTACCATTAATTCACTTCGCCTGTACATTATTTAATTGGGAATTGATCTCATTAGAATGTATTTCTGGCATGGTATGTTTCTACACAATTTATTAATTGTTGGGTGATAAAAGGCCTTTGTTGAGACAAATCTGTTTGTGCAAAAGTTATTTTACACACTAACAATTAAATTAAATTGTAATGAGATTGTGCATGTGTGTCCTCCTTCATAAACTGTTTCAGAACATATCCAAATTAAACAAACACGAGAAAGCTATACAAAATAATCAAATTGTATTGTAGGATACAAAGGAGGGAAGCTTAACAATGTTTTTTTTTAAATAAAAGAATTTATATACAGTATGTAGAATTCAAGCCCATTTGAGTGAAATAAGGGTTAATTAGTCTCAACCCTGCTATATAAAGTCAGATCTGCTTTTCATTTTCCTGCCCTAGGAGTCTACGGGTCCACATATAAGATATAAAGATTGTGTAAAACCGAAAGTTAATCCTAATAATTCATGCAACTGAATACCAGTGGATAGCCAAAAAATACTAGGGTATATTTTACTTTAATGTGACAGCTGGGGTGCCATTTCCTTTACAAAGCACCTCTTTTAAGTTGCTTGGGGAGGGGTTCAGACGATAACCTCTGATTGGGACAATAACTCCTGTACCCATGTGAATAATGTGATGTTGAGGAATTTCAATCTGTCTTCCAAAAATGATTACATCAGGTCATGAACATGTCCAGAGTCTGAGAACCCTTCATGAAACCAAACTTCTTTAATGGCTGTTCCAAGGATCTAGGTAGAAAGAACCATTTGTTCCATACCAAAAAACAAATAATAGAAAATTCAAACAAAAGCAAGCAGTAACTAAAGAAGAATTATTTGACTAAATCTCAGGTAAAACTTAAACTTTAATCCTTTCTGTAATTGAAAATTGCAAAACTAATACTTAATGATGGCTTTAATGAGCCAAGCAGAGCAGAGCTTTCAAACAGAAAGTTGCCATCAAGAAACATAACTGGAATTTCCTGTTGGCAGGTGGGCTGGGATTTTGATTTAAACATGGCCTAGAAAACACTCACCTCACATCATGGTATTCCAGTGTCAGTCCATATAACAAGGTTCCATTTTCAACATCTGTACTGTTTAATTGGCATCCAGGGGTGGTGTTCTACAACACACAGTGTGTCTAGGTGACTGAAGACCTGTTCTTACTTTGCAGATAATCACCTCCAAGACATTTTTACGTACTGATTTATTATGATTATACCCCAAAATAAACAAGGTGACCTCCTTACAGATAAAAGAAAAAAATTATATGTTCCATTTTATGTTGGGAAGTGCAATCTACAAATATGGCAGAAATCCATTAATAAATACATCTGTTTTTCTTTCCACTATATGGTGTATACAGTGTATCAGCAATAATGTAAGGTTTTAATTTATCTTGGGGGCTGTGGGGGTGCATAACACTGCTCTAAACCATAGAGTATCTGCTCTTAAATCTTCCTTAGCACAGACACAAAAATATACATAGCCTGCAAGAGTGTGAATAGAAATCAAACATACGTTTTCTCTCCCCCCTAGAGCCAGCTACTATATATAATCTCTTCTTTTATCATATACATCCTACTATTGCATACTGTACATACCTGCTTTATCCTCAGAGGGTCATGGGCAGGGAGTACAAGGTGAGACTGCACCCTGGATGGGACACTCACATGCATACAGGGGCTCTAAAAACACAATCAGAATGAAAAAATAACAGTCACGGTTGAGGTTGACAAATATCTCAGATTAGACCTGATTTATGGTTTTAGCCTAATCTGCAAAAGATAAATTAACGAGAACAGAAAAAAGACATTTCTACAATTTTCTTTCTAATTTCTTGCTGTATTATTTTACTGTTTTGCACAAATCATAGAATGGATTAAACTTTTTCACAAATAATTAAACAATTAATTTGTATAAATCAAAGAAAGTGTATTATTTTTAGACAGATTGCAATCAAAGAAAACATGCATTCTTTGTCCTGCACTATTTTCACCTGTATCAGTGTTTCATGTTCTATTTATTGGGAGGTTGATGTGATGCTTTCCAGATAATGTTATGTCAGAAAAGTCTCCTGTAATTTCTATGATCTCTGTGGATTAATTTTACCAGAATGTGCAATATTGTTCTTAGACACGTGGGTTCTATTATAGGAAAACGGTGACACAGGAGGCATTTTCCATTTCCCTGATTCTTGCAGCTCTGATGTTTCCATGATACAACAACAGTAAACTAGATCTAATCACATTGCAGTCATTTATTGACTAAGTGTCAATAGAGCTGCTTGAATTCATGTTAGTCCAATGATTTTGTTCCAATGCAGTGCCATTGTAGTGCCGCTGTAGAGTAATCCGAAACAGGTCTATTTAAACAAGCCTGATATCAATCTTGAATAGCCACAGAAAGAATACAGGAGCACAGTGATTTAACACAAATAATAATGATTTCTTGTATTTATATGGCATTTTTAACCCAAAGGATCCAAAAAACTCCTTTTACATATATACATACTGTATATAGATATATACTGTATATCACCTACACCTGGGTAATTCACAGCAGACATTATACGTCATTGTATTATACACATCATGTGACCTGTGACCTGCAAGTACACAGCCACCACCACACTCATTCAAGGCCCCTCAGGACAATTCCGGATCTTCCAGACAGCATCTTGTACCTCCAGCAACCTTATTTACTGTATCTCTTGCAGTAAATGCCCAGCCATCTACATTGGAGAAACAGGAAGGAGACTCGGAGACC